AAAGGTATGGTATCTGTCCCAAGGGGCTAACAGAAGCAGGTAAAGACAACACAGAACAGCAAACTAAAGGAAAAAAAATATGCATATGCTGAAATGTTACCCCCTAAAGAAGAGCAAAAATGGTGTAAACCCTGTCCCTCCCCACCAAGAGCTGCCTTTTGGGCAGTACACTCCATAGCGATGTTCCATGAGGTTTCCGTCTGCAGTTGCACAGAGCAGCATTACTGAGGCGAGACAAGGCATGTAGCCATTGGATTTCTGACTAATGGATCGATCAGCCAAATCTCCCATCCAGGAGGCTGGGAGCTGGCATTACTTCCCCCCCCAGCCACGTCAGTGTCTGCCTCACACACACACACTTTTTCTTCTCATGGTACCCCCTCTGTGTGTCTTAGCTACTTGCATTATAAGCTCTTCATGACAGGGACGGTCTCTTATTATATGTCCATACAGCGCCTAGCACAAGGGGGCCACAATCTTTGTAGAAGCCACCAAGCAGCACTGGAATACAAAAAAGGAAAAAAAAAATCCTGATTTTTTCATCTAAATTATAGAGCTGGTTGGAAAAAAAATGTTGATGGAAAAAAACAGTTTCATCAGAATCAAAATGTGTCATGGGAATGTATCAATTTAAACAAAATTTCAGTAGGAAAAGTCAAAACATTTCATTTTGACAAACTCAAAACTTTTGGTTCAATTCATTTAATTTCCACTTTCATATTTAAATATTAATTTCAACATTATATTTATACCTATATGTCTAACATATATTGTACTTAAAATAAAAGTGGAAACAAAATGAATTGAAATATTATTGAAACAAAGCATTTTGATGGTCCCAAATTGAAATGGTTCAGAATTTTCATTTTGTGGGAAATTTCAGCCTTTTGTTCTGGTCTGGAATGAAAAAATACAATCAAAATGCTAGATTTTCCCATGCAATGAAAATTCTGGTTCATGGCCAGCTTCACTACATTGCAATATTATCTTCTTGTTTATGCATAGGAGGGCTTCCTTTTTATTTTTAAGGAAACAATAAAATCATAAAGGTAGAAACAACTAGCTGTCTATTTAGGTTCTTATACTGTACCAATCATTTGCATCTGAGTGCCAGAGCTCCTACATGATCATTAGCTTATCAGCTCCATCCACACTGCAAGTGCAGAATAAATTTTTTTTTAGGTCCTAGGATGTACCAGGCACTAAACTGATCCCAAACTTGACCTTAAATCGCTCATCCTTGGATTTATAAATTTTTTTTTAAATTAAAGTTTCCCAGAGGAAATGGGAGTGTGGAAAGTGCTGCCTCCGCCAAAAAAAAAAGGACAAACCTGTGGAATTAGGCATCCACTTAAAACTTCCATTCCTCAAACAAACTTACTTGGCTCATTCAACTCCGTAAGGAGCGATGTCCGTTTACGTGACAGACCTCCCTGCTTAGAGAGGTATTGTGCACATTTACATCTTATTTATAGAGCTGCCTCCCTCATGCTTTGTTTAAGGAACAATTAGCCTTTGGCAGCTTAAAATAAAACAGAACTAAGTCTTTTCTTCACGATCAGTATACTTGAGCTGGATTTAAAGTTACTGCAACTGTGTTAGGCTACCTGGTGAACTAAATAATAAATTACCTCGTCACCCAGTGTCTAGGTTATCTCCCTCTCCTACTGCCTCTGAAAATACTGGGCTACGTGGCTACCATTTACTATGCAGTCCGAATGGTAGCAAAATGTGGAAATGAGGGCCTAAATCAGTCAGGTATAGAGAGCAGCAATTCCACTGCCTGCTCCCCACTTCCTCCAGACACATAAGAAGCACCTGTATATGAAAGAGGCTCTGTTGCTCTGGATAATGGAAGAAAGATCTGAGGGTAAATAGGGAAAGGAACTCAGGAACAATCACACTCCACAGCATGCTCCCCTTTCAGCGGGACAGATTTCCTAGCAGAATTCTTCCCAGAAACTACTACTGGTGAAACTATCCCTGCATAGCTGCTACCAACCTAAAGGGAATGATTGCAACCACTGCCACAGAACATATTACAGGGTATAGCATAACTTCAACACTCCTAGGTCCGCCCAACATCTCAATGCCACTCACTCAAATTTGATCCGACTCCTCCTCCACCAAACCTCACCTAGCGAGGCACCATTTGCTTTATTAAAGTCACAAACAGAAAAATCATCCTATCTGTGACATTTTTACCACTGTGACAAACCTGCAGCCCTAGCTGTATGACACAAATAAATAAAACAAACAATTCAACAACAATAGGTCCTAACTGAGAAGAAATACAGAGCTTGCAAAAAAACAGGAAGAGCCATCCAATTATTTGAAGGTGCAGAAAGCAGGGAAAGTTTTGAGATGGGATTTAAAATTCCAAGAGTCAGCAAAATAGGGATGTGAAATGAATACCAGAGTTGTAAGTGGAAGAAGAAAGACAAAATTTAGACATGGAGGAATACATCATGGAAAGATGTTTGCAAACAGATTAAGTGAGCGAACAGGAAGTAAGATGAAAGGTACGAAAGACATTGAACACCAACTGCCTTCCAATAACATTAAACATCTAAATGACAGACAAAAAACACAGAAATTCATTGTTAAAGCTTCCACTCCATCCTTATTTCACCACAAATTTTCCTGGTGTAGGAGTCTCAGAATATAAGCAATCTTACATATGTTCTGCAACACTTAGGTACAAGAGGGTTAATTAGCAGAGGATGAAGTCACAGCTTTAACAGTGAATTTTATCTTCCGTTGGTATAGATTAGACCTTAACTATTAGTTTGAATATAGTACTTGGTGTTTAATAGCCACTATTTAAAAAACAACCCACACTGGAACTCTTAGGTTTGGAGCTGCTTTGTTCCAATATGTGCCAATGGAATCATTGAGGTTCATACAATCCATAAGACATTTCTAACGACACATCATTAAGGAAGGACACATTTGCTTTGGACTTGCTACAAAAAAAATATCACTGGCACTGTTTTGACTCTCGCACTGACATCAGTGTGGACTACCAAAGCCTTTGGGCATGTCACTGTAACAATGTTGGTTTTATAATAATGTCATTTTATATGTTTCAACAATAGAATTTTTCAATAGTGGATATTTTTCAAAATAAAACTGAAAGGATGATCCAAAACGTTCAGGTTAATGACAAATCCTGAAGAAAAGCTACTTCAGTAAGTCATTTTTTAAAGAAAGAGAGAGAGAGAGATTCAGGAAAAATCATCCACAGGGAATTAAATGTCTGATCAATGTTAAAAACAGAAAAGACTTTAGGCAAATCAAATCCACCACCAAATGGATAAACAAACATGTAATTAGACAAATGCAGCTGAAGAATTTTTAACAAGTTGGTTACAAAGGGGAGCAAGAAATTCAAAGTTTTCACCCGAATGCTTTTATTAACAACTGTAAAGTATGATGTATGAAGTAGTTTAGAACAAGTTTAGTAGCTTCAGTTAAAAAATAATGAACATATTTCCTTTTCCTAATGTGTTTGTTTTAAGGAATTAGATTTCTCCGTGAAATAAGTTTTTGCAAAATGTAAGCGTATTGTTTGGGGTTTTTTAAAATATGGTCTTAAAGAGCCCCCATGCTGCACTCCTTACAGGACAGAGCAATTTTGGGACACGAGTCTGTAGTCATCAGACAATATTTCAACTGGATTCAACAGAAGTTGTAAGTGCTCAGCACCATCCAAGTGAGGCCCTCGGGTCTTCATCCTGCAAACACTAACACATGCTTAAATCTAGGCAACTGAATAGCTCCACTGAAGTTAATGGGTCTAGTCAGGTGCCTAATATTAAGCAGTGAATAAGTGTTTTCAGGATCAACTTGTTGTTGTACACCAACTTGATACAAATGTTAACGGCATTATTTATTAAGAGATACCAGAAAACCTAGCCAAGTTCCATATTTTGTGATGCCTACATTAATATTTTAAGCATAAGGTTTTAGTAAGAAATTACTCTTTTCCATTTCGCAACAGAACCTGAACATTCAAGTTGTTAGAGTTTAGAACCTATGACTTCTTCTATTTCTATTCTTTCCTACTACCATGTTATCTGACCAACTTCTTCAGGGTGCTCTCAGAGGTGGGTCAAGAGGAATCCAGGGTCTATAAAATCCTCACCCCACTGAAGTCCACAGGAGTTTTGCCATTTCAATCGGTCCAGGATTTCACTCACACAGACTAAAACCCAGAAGGTTCTAAATGCTTCTTGGTTCTAGAATCCTGAAGGCTCTATGATGGTGAGTTCCATTGCCCTGAGGTATTTAAATATAATAGATTGTTGGATTCCAGGTGCTGGTGGTTTAATTATTAAAAGGGTGACAAACAGCTGCTAGGGAATACGTCTTCCAGAAGTTTGAATGCTCCCAGGACTGGCCAAATGTATGTGATTAGCAGGTTTGGCTCAGTAACAACAGCCCCAAGAAGGATATGCTGCTTTTTAAAAAAACAGAATAGGCCTAACTTCTTTAAAAAAAAAAAATCCATGGAAACTTTTTCTTCTTTCTTTCCATGTACTGATTTTGAACTTCAGAAAGGGCTAATCTTATTCTCTAACATGATCAGCTTCTGCTCTAGCTAGTAAATCAAGTTGAGGAGGGAAGGGCTGGTGTGAGAATAAATAAAAGAAAGTGTCGCTGTGCAACAGCCTTTTGCCAGCAAAGCTGCTAAAGTGCTCTACTTCCCCAGGCCTTTTCGAGAACTTTTTTTTTTAAATCACTTCCTACTTTTATCTCTCTCGTTACAGAAGGTTGTGAAGTTGTTGCAGCTACACAGCACATTCCTCTCCCCGCTGTTTCCTGTGCTGCAATGTTTAATGCTCTCTTCACGGGTCCCTGTCCTGCAGCTAGATGTCTTAGCCTGACATTTACATGGGGAGGGGGAGGTGTCCCAGAAAACAGCTACATGCGCCGCACAGAGAGAGCAGCCACCCACACTGAGCACATACACACACACACCCCAGCCCTTTCCTTACCCTAGGGTGCTGATGAAGCCGTTGACTGAGCCTTCCGCGTAGAGGGACACGATGTCCCCGATGTACAGAAAACTGGACATTTTGTCAGACATTTTTGCTCATTTTCCGTTCATTCCCCCGGTCACAGAACAGCCTGGGGGTGGGGGGCCGCAGCGCACGCGAGGGGGAGGGGCCGCCCGGCAGCGATCAAAGCCCGACGCTTGTTTGCAAAGCTGCGAAGGGGGAGCAGCCAAGTGGCAGCAGCTGCCTCCCCTCGGCCGCAGCCTGGCATGAGCTGCTGGGCGAGCCTGGATCCTGAGCCGCCGCCGCCTCCTTTCTCTAGCAGTGTCCTTCTCCTTTCACCACGCCGCCCGCGGAGCTCGCGCTGCTGCGGGAAATCTGCGCCGCGCTGCTGCTGTTGCACTCCTCCGTCCTCTCCTCATTTCCTTCTCCCTCTCCTGCGGGATGGGGGCTGTCCCCCTGGATCCCTCCTCCTGCCTTCGCTTTCTCCCCTCGTCCTTCCCCCTTCTCGTCTTCCTCCCTCAGCCCCTCTTCGGGTCTCTTTCCTGCCGCCGCTGCCCTAAAGCGCTCGCAGTTTTTCTCTCCCACTGAACTTTTTGCAAAGGCTGCTTCCCATTGAGCGCCCGGGAGGAGGGGCTCGCGCGGGCGTCTCCGCCAATCAGAGCGCGGCAGCGTTGGGGGGAGAGCAAGGAGACACAAGCGGCCGAAATGCAACAAGGTGTGTGTGTGTTTCCCAGTCGTACTGGCCAGTGCCTGAGCTGGGGGGAGATTCACCCAGGGCTGCCGGGGCATCAGTGCCAGGCGCCCTTCCGAGCTGGGGTGGCCTGATCTGTGCCTAGTTGGTTGCAGGGCTGTATTTCCTTGCTTTCATCTGACCCCAGTCCCAGACATCGGATTTCCCCTTCTCTCTCGCTCATCTGTCTTAAACCTTAGCTTCACTAGTTATCCATGTGTTCCCCTACCCACAACACTTTGCCCAGGCAGAACTTTGCCAGTGATAGGATCGCTTCCTACTGATTGACCCCACACTGGACCTCGTAGAACATGGCAGGCTGGGGGAGAGAGTGGAGTAGAGGGAAAAGAGGAAATGTAGAGTGTCATGTATAGTTTTTTCCTACTCTGCTATTTTTCAGGCCGTCTCGTTTTCGCGCGTCAGCATTTCCAATGCACTTAATTTGATCCTCCATTTAATATGATGCAAACCTCAGGCACCGAATCATTTTTATTGAAAATAACTTCTTGGTCACACATGAAACTATTGCATACATTTGCAGTTTAGTATAGTTCCCACTGCACATAGGTTATGCTCTCATTTATTTATCTATTTAGTCATTTTAATAATTGATGCCCTGCATGACCTATACAGGCTGAGGATTGTTTGTTTGTTTACAGGTTTTACAACTAATGTACATGGAATTTTTATATGCTATTTCTGTGTTGTGCATGTGTGTATATATGTTTTGTTTCATTGTGTTTATATTTTATATAAAAACAATAAAAACAAAGTTTTCCTTAAAAAGAAAATAACCTCTACCCTTCATTCTGATCACTTTAGGAGGAATTACTGGAGCAGATAATTCAATACCTGACTCTAGAATGTTGCCATTGATTTAATAAGGATGGCCAAAATTCTGATTAAGAAATAGAAGAGCTCCAGAAAGACCTGTAGCATAATAAAAGATGACTGTAATTTAAGATCTAATCTTGTAGTCTCCACTCAAACAAAAATTTCCAATGAGAATTTGATAGTGGGGCACAAGGCCCCAAAATTGTGTTATTTTCCCTTTGCTCTTGCCTGTATAAAGCAGGACCGTGTTCGATGCAAGCTGTGACATGCACCCTAGTGGTCAAATGAATAACATGATCAACAACTTACTTCAAAATAATAAGAACGTACATCTGCGTGAGAGAGGCTTCAACCTTTTGGGAATGAGTAACAAACTGAAAGTGTGCCAACTTTATTTTCCACTCATTTAACTTCCCACCTTCACAAAACCAAGTGTTTTCTCCTTCTTTATTAATGTAAATGTTTACATCGGAAATTGCTGAATCTTCAATATGAGGGCAAGAGAAAGCTTTACCCATTTAGCATTTTAAGAAATGGATTCTATAACATTCCAAATTCCTCCCTCTGCAATTTTTCATTGTTTTTTTTCATTTTGTGTCTTCTTTTAGTATTGCATATTTGTTAGGGGGATTATTTTTTTTACCCTTTTGCTTTCCTGGTCCTTTTTGCATGAACAGAGAGCAACAATACCCGAAGTCTGAAGGTGCAAACAATTCAATGTTTATTGGGGTGAACTTTTAGCAAGCATGATTTTAGTTTTCTTTTTTAGTGTCCCTCTTTTTAGCTTTGACACCACAGAGCCTTGCCTGTGTTCCTGTTTCTGTTCCCATTCCCTGTTTCCATCCCCCCGCTTAGCAAAACATGATACCAATTCCCCCACCCCGTCCCTGTTCCCATTCCCCCCCTTACTTCCTGATTGACTGCAGACTATATAGTAAAACTTGAGTTCTGCTTAGATATACCTTAACCAATTATTTTACTGAAATTTAACTAACCAATACTGTAATGTGGTTATTTAACCAATTATATCCCACCACCTTAATTGGTTTACACCCAACAAAATTAATTATACAGCAGACAGAAACAATTACAGAACCAGACAGAGATTATACAGACAAACAATAGGGAAGTGGAGACTACAGTGATAGAACAATACAGAAATGAGGATTTCACATCCCAGCTATTGATAAGTGAGTTTTTGCCAGATAGGATGCTATTAAACTAAGTTTATTTTTACATCGTTTAGGCTCTTACCTTTCTCTGGAGGTGATAGGAATATTAGGACAGGATTGTATTATTAACAGCCCAATAGCACCTTATTTTAATGTGACTAGTTTGGAATGTAAGGATGTAACCATACATTTCCCAGTTTATGGCTGCCTTTGCTGCTTAGCCAAAGGTCTTAGCCTAAGAACCAGGCCTTAGACTGTTCCTTACACATACAGAGAGTGATTTTGATTTTCTCTTTTATACCTCTATAACTAGCTAAGTGATAAAATACACCTAAATTCTTAAAGTATGGGCTTTTGCAGACAGGCTTGAATATCTGTATCCTAACAATACTTACTTAAAAACCATCATCACAAGTTGGCGTTTGTATGTTGTCTGCATGTGCAGTAGATAAACGCAATGTAAAGGATCAAATCTACAATTTAAGGGCTTGGAACTAGTCTGGAATATAAAACAAATAGGAACAGGTGTGGGAAAGAAATGCAACAGTCTCAAAGTCTAATGTAATGAAACTTTAAAATGTTAGACTGTTACATGGGGCCTACCTTCCACCAAAGATTTAAAAAAAAAAATCAAGGATAATGGGACAGATCTTCAGCTAATGTAAAATGTCTTCATTCCATCTGAAGCTATCACAACTTATACCAGCTGAGGATCCAATGCATACATTCCTTAGGGAACAGACAAGAAAACGTTGGAAAAGTAGACCGACAGTAGGCACACTATGTCATATAATGGGGAACTGGTTAAACTTATGATATACATGCAAGGTGTGCAAAGAGTCGTTATAAAATATTTGTGCAGTCAAATTTGCACAGCTCTTTGCAAACCCAGAGCCCATGCCTGCAATGGGATCTGCATGGTTTGTACCCATAGAGAGTCCCATTGAAGACTACAGGACTTTGTGCAGGCAGAGAGGTCCATCCCACATAGATCCAATTGCAGGTCCGGAGAGCGTTTGGTGAGAGAGATGATGTTTGGGATAGTGTTTTAGGCATAGTGAGAAGAGTGATAGAAGACGGGGAAAAAAGCAGAATAGTAAAATGTTAAAAAGAGTGGCCAACTTTATTTTCCACTCATTTAACTTCCCACCTTCACAAAACCAAGTGTTTTCTCCTTCTTTATTAATGTAAATGTTTACATCGGAAATTGCTGAGTCTTCAATATGAGGGCAAGAGAAAGCTTTA